GGAGACACTGATTGTGCCCTATTCTGTTGTCATTGTTTCCCTAAGTTTATTGTCAATTTCTGGTATTTGATTTCTTCAGATAACCTTAACCCTAATCCCAACTCTCTTCTCTGAAATGCTGGGCCTAACTAACTCATGGTGGGGGACAAGTTAAATGGCTCATTCTCTTACCCTTCAGGAACTCAGCCAGTATTGCCTTAACCCTAGGAACTATTTCAAATCTTCATGTTTCCTATGTTAATAGGTTGTTAAAAATCTTTAATGATATTCACTGTGTTGTTGTGGGTTGTGGTGGACACTTTACGTCACTTCCATGACTCTTCTCAGTATTACTTTTTGTTCCTTATGTTTAAGTAATAAGTATAGTTTAAAAATAATTCTCATCTGTATACCTTATTGAATTTTTTACAAGAGTTGTGAAGCAGAAATGGTAGAGATGATTATCACTATACTTCACATGAGGAAAGAGCTTCAGAATGGTAAAATGTTTTGCTGAAGAGCATACGCTTGAGAAAGGGCAGAAAGAGTACTAAAACCCAAGTCTATTTAATTATTATCAATCATTTACAGTTGCATACTCAAAATTGCCATTCTTAGAGCTCCTGCACTCCAATATTTTGGCTAATAGGGAGTAGAGAGAAGCAGTTGAATATTTGCCTTGCCTCAGAAATGCTAGATCAAGGTGACTGCATGTAGCACCTCCACCCCTCTGATAGTAGTAGGAGTAAATTGGAGCTATTTGGCAAATTTTGGTAACTTCAAGAGAGTTAGTATGCCAGTCTGTTTTCTGTGCTTCTCCAAGTATTTTGGAAACATTTTATTACTCATGAGAACAATAGGCCAACTTAAAAAAAGAATTACTGTATCTCATATAGAACTTCAAAGACATAGGAAATTTCTAGCAAGTGGCCTTAAAGAGATAGGGCACAATGGCCAAGTGAACAGATATTTTGTTAAGACAAATGTTGAAAATATAAAACCTCCATAAGAGAAACAAGTACTGATTTTGGAAATTTATATATATAGAAACTTTACATATACACATATACATATATTTAATTATGTAGAAATGTATATATGATAATTATATTCCAAGAAATTTTTGTTGTCATAAACAGCTAGTCACACCTCAGTAAACTGGAACTCAAATATCTGACAGCCTTAGGTATCCAAACACAGCTGACAGAATCAGGAAGGAAACAAAATAAAGATACTCCTGCATAGTCAAAACAGATGTCATAGATTCCATTAACTAAAACCCATACACTTTATTCCATAGGAGATTTTCCCTTTTCCATGCACACCATTTCCAAGTAAAATAAAATAAACAGGCTTTTACTCATTTTTGTTCAATTTAAACTCTGTTATAACTAGCTTAATTATTGTATTTTTAAAGCCATAAAATAATAGAAAGTACTAATTAAAATTACAAGGAATTTATTAGAGAGTCCCACTGACAATGACAAGTATGGGCAAATAACCTAAAACTAGAGGGCCAGTGTACAAATTCCTGTACCAGTGGGGTCCCTCGGCCTGGCTTGTGGGATCGGGCCAAAACCAGCTCTCTGACATCCCCTGAGGGGTCCCAGATTGCAAGAGGGTGCAGGCCAGGCCGAGGGACCTCACCGGTGCACGATTGGGGTTGGGGAGGGATGCGAGAGGTTGGCCAGCTGGGGAGGGACCGTGGGAGGGCTCCAGGGCATGTACAGCCCATCTCGCTCAGTCCTGATCTGCTGGACCAGAGCAGCAACCTAACCTGCTGATCAGAGCATCTGCCCCCTAGTGGTCAGTGCACATCATGGTGGGAGGTTGAGTGACCTTAGCATATTATTAGCATACTAGAGGCCCAGTGCCTTAAATTCATGCATGGGGGGACGGAGGTCCCTAAGCCCAGCCTGTACCCTCTCCAATCCGGCATCACTGCTTGCCTAATCATCCTAACTGCTCTCTCCTGCTGGCCTAATCCCCCTAATTGCTCTCCCCTGCTGGCCTGATTGCCCCTAACTGCCCTCCCCTGCCAATCTGATCCTGCCTAACGACCTCCGCCTCGGCCCCCGCCACCATGGCTTTGTCCGGAAGGATGTCCAGAAGGTTGTCTGGAAGATGTCCGGTCTAATTCGCATATTACCCTTTTATTAGTATAGATTACGCTTTGATTGGTTGAACGGCCAACTGGATGATCAGACACTTAGCATATTAGGCTTTTATTATATAGGATTATATAGGATAGTGGAGAAAGAAGCTCATATAAAATCAAATGTATAAGAACCAAACATTCATAGGGCCAATTTAGTATAGGGACAAGCAATACTACAGATTTCAATAGCCCTGAGAGAACCAAATGTGTACAGTACAATAACTAATGTTTATAATAATGACCCTCAGTCATACTGAAAATATTACATTAAATGTTACATTAATATTACATTAAATGTTAGCAACAATGTTAAAACTAATAATAGCAAAAACAATCATTTGTAAAGTGCTTTGGAGTTTAGAAAGCACATTCTAAAAAGTATGTCTCAAATTAAGATCATCTAGTGTAGCTCCCTTATGAACAGGTTTAAAAAAAAAGAAAAGAAAACCAAAAAAAAGTAACTTGCTCAAAGTAATATAGCTCATCCGTGGCAGACCTGAAACTAGATCCTGGTGCTCTGAATCTGGATGAATACTTATTTCATACACCATGTCCTTTTATATAAAACAAACTGCTTAAGTGGGTAGGAAAGAATATAATTTAGAACAATTTCCACCTAAAATGGGGTTTTAAATGTTTAGGGCAGTGATTCCCAAAGTGGGCGCTACCGCCCCCCGGTGGGCGCTGCAGCGATCCAGGGGGGCGGTGATGGCCACAGGTGCATTTGGGGGTGATGAGTAACTGCTATTAAAATTTTTAAAAAATTAATTTCCAGGGGCTGAGTAATATTTTTTCTGGAAAGGGGGTGGTAGGCCAAGTAAGTTTGGGAACCACTGGTTTAGGGACTAAAAAAGAGATACTCAATCATTGCTATAGGACACAACTGTCTAAAATGCACATCCTTAAATTATTTCATAGAACTTGAGTTTTCCTCTGTTTTTTAACCCGCCCATGGTAAATGTTATCTGTTTTTGTTTAGATAAGCAATCACTATTTACAAAAAAAATGACACAGATAAAACATTTTATAAATTTCCAATTATTTAAAGATAAGAAAATATGCTGAGAAATGCATCATTAGGCAATTTTGTCATTGTGTGACCATCATAGAATACACTTACACAAACCTAGATGATCGAGCCTACTATACACCTAAGCTATGTGGTATAGCCTATTGCCCCTAGGCTATAAGCATATATAGCATGTTACAACACAACAAAAACAACAACACAGAAAAACACATGATTAAATGAAGCACAAGAAAAAATAATGCAATCAAGAGACATGGTAAACATGAGATTTATAAGCCTGCTGCCTGCATAACACAAAATATTGTTTTATAGCAAACACTTTTTTCATAAGTAGAAATGGTACACTCTAAATTAATATTAAAAAATACTATGGTGAATATATAAACTAGTAACATAATCATTTATCATCATTATCAAGTATTATGCACTGTACAGAATTGTATGTTCCATGCTTTTATATAACTGGTAGCACATAGGTTTGTCTACAACAGCATTACAAAAAACATATGACTAATGTGCATTGCACTATGACATTATGATGGCTACAATATTACTAGGCAATAAGAATTTTTCAACCTCATTATAATCTTAAGGATCACCATCATACTAGTATATGTGGTCCATCATTGACTGAAACATTGTTATTCGTTGCATGAGTGTAATTTTATAAAAGTAACCACTGCTTTTTAAAATACTATTTTAATAAAAACTGATATATAAAATTTTAAGTTTCAAAATTTCCAATGGGAGTCATTTGTATTACAAAATAATTTCACCACAGTAATAATTAAAAAAACAAATTTCCATTTACAGTAAGATTTGATGCACCATTGTTTTCTTTACACATACCTTTACCTGTAAGGAAAGAGGTCCATTTGAAAAACTATATGCATGTGTGTATCTTCATTGTTTAAATCTATCAAGCAACATTTTGACTAAGGTGGTACTTAAGTGAATTAATCTAGGCAGACCGTGGCACAATTGATTTTAATGAACAAATTAAACAAAATGTTTTCTGAATGAGTGCCAATATATAAAAGCATGCATCACATCACACATACTCAAGCAAAGAACTTTCATTGCAAACCCTGAAACTCTGAACTTTGTGTAATATGTTAGAACACAAGTTTATTTTGTGTTTAAGGTGTATGTGCTCTGTGTGAAAGTCTTGATATTTTTGAGATATTTGGGATGTATCTGAATTGTTTCTTTCTCCAAGAGGAAAATGTAAAAGTCTCATAGATATTTTAAATTATAAAAGTATCAATTATCATAACTTCTATTAATATAAACCTGTCCATTTTAGCTTATATTGCTTAAGTAGTGTGTTATTTTCTTAAAAAAAAACTAGGATCATATTGCTTTCATGTACCTTTTGAAACATTTCAAAATTCACCTATATCTACCTATTTTCAATTTACATTTTGTTGTGTGTGTGTGTTTTGTTTTTTTCTTGTTTGTTTTTTGTAGGAGAAGGTGAAAAGACTACACCCATTGCTGAGGAACAGTTGGGCAATTCATTTGGTTGCGTATTACTTTCTGTAAAGAAAAATGTTTTCTCGTGTGCTCCATAGAAAAATTTGTTTCCATTTAGACAGAACATATAGGCATGAGTAGCTCCTTCAAAAGAGTAATTTTGAGAATAAAGGAAAGGGGGCCATGTTTTGTTAAGGCAGTCAACAATATCATTTTAGAAAAAAATATTCAAGGTGACATAGCTAAACTGACAGAGCATATAGATCATCCTTGCTAATTGTTTGATTATGTTGTCTTGGAATCATCCAAAAATTCGAGGAAGATAATTTGAAGATCTCCCTTCTTGTGATGAATCTCCTAAACACTGTCATTGCATCTCACACATGACTGAAAAACCAGGCCATGTTCTGAAAATCTATCACGAAATTCTGAGGTCATAAAATAATATACAACTGGATCAAGACAGCAATTCAGATTTGCAAGACACAAGGAAATTATGTGGAAACATAGAATACTCTTGATAAAGTAGCAGTTTGAAAAGACGTGTTGCTTCATCATCATATAAAGTGGGAAGTTGAGGTGGTAAGGGGCAAAGCACACAATGAATACCACTGCACACATCAGGACCATCCGCAAAGCTTTTCTTCTCTCTTTGGTATTCTGAGGAGGGACTTGGAATTCCCGTAAAGATTTTCTTGTTTTCCATGTACAATAAGTAATAATTATAGCAGGTAATATAAATCCTCCAAGTTCAGCTACAGTTACCATGCCAATGGAAGAAGCCATGCTAATGTGTTGAAACCCTAAATCAGCAAAGCAGGATTCAGGATTGTTGGCTAAGCCAGTACCTCTCAGAATTGGAAGTGGCAAACAGGCAGTGCCCACGATGACCCAGATGACAGCACTGATGCCCACATCATACCTACGCTTCCAATCTCTGGCCCTGAAGGGCTTCAGGAGAAAGAAGCACCTCTGAAGGCTGATGCAGGTCAGGAAGCAAATGCTGGCGTACATGTTGAGATATTTCAGGTAGAAGCACAGCAGGCAAAGGGTCCTCTGGAAAGGCCAGTGGTGGCTGATGTAGTAGTAAATCCGGAGGGGTAAGGAGAGCACATGAGCAAGGTCAGCCACAGAGAGGTTGATCATGAAAATGATGGCTTTATTTTTCTTGCTGATGAAGCGCCACAGAACCCACAAGGCTGCACTGTTAACCAGAAGACCAGGGATGAATATGAGGATGTAGGTGGTTGCATAGAGGGTGTACTGAAATGGCATTTGAAGATCAGTGCACTTTGCTCCTGTACTGTTTGTGCTGTTACCTCCCATCTTGAGGATTTATGTTCCTTCCTTAAGGACAGCATCAGATGATTTCTGCCCAAAATAGAGTAAAAATAGCATCAAAGGCATGTCAGTTTATATTTGGGTATACAAATATATTTGTTTCATACTAAAGAAGTATTCAAGTGTGAACTTTCATGAATTCAGAAGGTCTTTTCTATGTAAACTAAAAATAGCATGCCACTCTATAAATGGATAAGTATTTTGGAGGATATTTGCAGTAATCAAAAGGATCACTATTTTGGAAATATGCTCAGTCATATTTTCCCCTTTATAATCAGAGGGATTAACTAAATTTGTAGAAATAACCAATAAACAAGACCTCAAGAAATAGCCCCCAAATGTGCATTCCAACTGTCTATGGGGTTCCACATTTCAGCTTTACAGCTGTCTCCACTTGTACTTAAATTGGGAATCTAGCTTATTTCCCTATCATCAACTCTGGGAGAAATTAATCAATTTTAACTGCAATTTTATTAGGAACTAGGTAATTGCTGAGGTGAGTTTATGAAACTTTGGAAATGAAACAGGATAAAAGCCTAGGGAATGGCTGCCAGATTGGGGATTATAGGGGCTTGGAATAGATGGTGCAATTCAGATTACTTTGCCTCTTTCAGAATTTGGTTGATGGCAAAATTAGTTCTGAACACTGAAAACATCTGAAATATTAATCATGGCACGTTCTAGAAGCTTCTGTAATTTTAAAGATCTGTGTTTACTTACAGAATTATAGTAGCTTCAGACATTCACATGTATTGAGACTATTCTTGCAACCATTTCAAGAAACTACCAGACTACTGAAGAACTAGAGGGTATCTGGTGGTAGATGCAATAAAAGGGGCAATTTTCTACTTCAACTCTCAGGGCAAGCTCAGTGAAAAGATATTAATGCGGATGATTAAATTTTTAAAATATTTTAAAGTGTAGTTGGCATACAATATATTAGTTTCAGGTGTACAACATAGAGATTAGACATTTATATACTCTGGTAAATGTCATACCCATCTGGCACCATACATAGTTATTACAATATTATTGACTATATTCCTTATGCCAGTGATGGCGAACCTTTTGAGCTTGGCATGTCAGCATTTTGAAAAACCCTAACTTAACTCTGGTGCCGTGTCACATATAGAAATTTTTGATATTTGCAACCATAGTAAAACAAAGACTTATATTTTTGATATTTATTGTATATATTTAAATGCCATTTAACAAAGAAAAATCAACCAAAAAAATGAGTTCATGTGTCACCTCTGACACGCGTGTCATAGGTTTGCCATCACTGCCCTATGCTGTACTTTACATTCTCATGACTATTCTATAATTACCAATATGTACTTATTAATCCTTTCACTTTTCCACCCATACCTCCCAACTCCCCTTTCATCCAGTGACCCTCAGTTTTTTCTCTGTATTTGTTTATTAGATTCCACATATAAGTGAAATCATACAGTGTTTATATTTCTCTAACTTATTTCACTTAGCATAACACCTTCTAGGTCCATCCATGTTGTTACAAATAGTAAGATTTCATTCTTTTTTATGTTTTTATGGTTGAATAATATTCTATAAATAATTTATCCGTTCACTGATCAATGGACACAAAGGCTGCTTTCATATCTTGGCTATTGTCAATAATGATAAAATGAACATCGAGGTGCATATATCTTTTTTTCATTTTTAAATAAATACCCGGAAATAAAATTGCTAGGTATTATGGTAGTTCTATTTTTAATATTTTGAGGAACCTCTATACTTTTCCCCATAGTGGCTACCCCAACTTAAAATTCAACCAACAGTACATTAGTTTTCACATTTCTCACCAACGCTTGTTTTTTGTTGACTTTTTAATTATTAGCTATTCTGACAGGTGTGAAGTGATATCTCACTGTGGTTTTTCATTTTCATTATGATTTATAATACTGAGCATGTTTTTATAATTCTGTTGGCCATCTGCATGTCTTCTTTGAAGAAATGTCTATTTTTAACAATCATAATTGTTAGAAGGGTCTTTCCTGTGAGTCAAAATCTGTATCCCTGTCATGTCAACCTAGTTCTGCCTACCAAAGCCAAATAAAATCCTGTTATACATTAAACACTGAAAACATCTGAAATATGAAAGACATTAATCCTGTCTCCTCTCAAATCTTCCCTTAATGCCCTCGCCGGTTTGCCTCAGTGGATAGAGCGTCGCCCTGCGGACTGAAGGGTCCCAGGTTCAATTCTGGTCAAGGGCATGTACCTTGGTTGCGGGCACATCCCCAGTAGGTAGTGTGCAGGAGGCAGCTGATCGATGTTTCTCTCTCATCGATGTTTCTAACTCTCTATCCCTCTCCCTTCCTCTCTGTAAAAAATCAATTAAAAAAATAAATAAATCTTCCCTTAATTCTGGTTAGACATTAATTTCCAAAATGGCATGGTCTTTGTTCTTTTCTTTCTTTCTTTTCTGGATCAGAACATTAATGCTTTTGGCAAAAAGCCACTGTACTATTGCTTATTTAACCTTGAAAGTAGCAGTTTGACAACCTAAATGTTTGATATTTTTAGGAAATGACTTATGTATCTCATTTAGAAAAAATAAAGTCTAAATGAGATTTTAATGTTTCCTTGTATGTTAATTGTTTGCAAAGGCAGTTAGTTTGCTTCACATTTTATGTAATTAATGGGAAAATGAGGCAGACTCAACCTTAACTACTGAAAGCAACATAGAGTCTAAGAAAGTGCCTACTCAACTCCCAACACCGCCAATTAAAATGTTTTAAGATTCAGTTAACCCACACTCAGCTCACACAATGCCAGACAACTTATTTGATGCTTTTGCACTGACTACATGATACTTTCAAAGAAACTGTATTTACTAATTGACACTTTATTGCAGTAAAACAATCAGCTCATTTAAATAAACAACTACTTTGAATGTTATTGTAACTGAGTTGGTTATTTTTGCTAAATTGACCAGTTTCTCTAGCAAACTGTAAATATAGCCCACACTGTCTGTTTTTGTGGATTGTTTATCCACTTAACTAAAATAATTGATCTCATGTTCTATATATTTAGTCTAAAGAAAATAATATATAAGCTTGAACTGTAATTATTTTTGAAATAAAATTTAGGGAATAGTTAATATACATGAAGTCTTCCCTGATTATCTTTGGTTTTGTTATAATAACAATTAATAACCACTGAATGACTCCTTGTGCAAGGTGCTATACTAAGTACTTTATACATACTCTGTCAGTCAATCTCTCACAGAAATCCTATGCAACAGTAAAGTATTACCACCATTTTGCAGATGGGGAAACTGAAGCACCAAGAAAGGCAAGGCTCACTTTCTCCAAGAAGCCTTCTCATAGTATTCATAGTTCTGATTTTCTTTCGTGAGAGTGTACTTAATATACCTAGCATGTTGTGGTTATTCGCTTTTCCATAGAGTCTATTCTGTTGACCTAAATAGATTGCAATCTCATACATATAAAAAACCTCATTATTACCTCTTCCTTTACTCCATAATAAAGTGTCTTAAACATAGTTGGTATCCACTAATTGTTTGTTGAATGAATGACTGGATGCCTGATGAATGGATAAATCAAGGGCGAAAAGTTCCTTTGAGAAGAAGAGAGTGTCTGGGGAATTAGAATTTACCTGTGATGTTCGCTTTTACCACCAGGTGTCATAAGTATACAAAAGTTCAAATATCTTAATATTTAACATATAATTTGTTTTAAAATTCAATTAAGGGAGAAACCATACTAAAGGAGAGAAATATCAACAACCTCCTGTGTAACTACAGAAGAATCCATTAAAGAGTATTTTAAAGAGTTTGGAATTTTTCAGCCTTCATACTTTCTCATATAGTTCTTTGAGGTTAATTTATAAATCTATTATAGATTACTAGAATATTAGAGCTGCTAAAGTTCATCAGGATCTCCTGATCTTGCCACTTTTTATAGATGATAAATAAAGGCCAAAAATAACAAAAAAGTTAAAATTTCCAAATTCACACAGAGAATTATTGGCAAAAGCTGAACAATTAATCTTTTGCCTCCCTCCACAGAGCAATTTTTAGGTTTCAAAAAAATTGTAATATGAAAAACATATTTTTGTAATTATATAATGATAATACAAACTTTCAGAAATAAACCTATGCCAGATTTTAGAATACTAACCTTGACAGTGAACTGTTACAAGAGGGATTAGTTCTTTCCAAATATTCCAGGACAAATGCAGTGTTTTTAAAAACAGAATGAGTATTCCTAGTTTCTAATGATAAGATTATGTAAAACTCTGCTTAAAACTCTTAGATTAGGTTGTTTTTAAGTTTTCATTATTTATTCACATGAAGAATAGCATTTCACATTAGAAAATAGATATAAGCACAAACAAACCAAAATATATACATATCTATCACAAATATTTCAATTGCTATCATTTTAGTGTATAGCATTCTACTTTTGTTTAAACCTATAGACCTACTAGAGGCCCAGTGCACACCATTCATACACTCAGGTGGGGGGTTCCCTCAGCCCGGCCTGCACCCTTTGGCAGTCTGGGAGCCCTCTGGGGGTATCCAACTGACAGCTTAGGCCCGCTTCCCATGGAGAGCAGGCCTAAGCCAGCAGTAGGACATCCTTAGTGCTGCCACAGATGTGGGTGAGGCTCCCACCACCGCTGCTGCAATCACCAGCCGTCAGCCTGGCTTCTGGCTGAGTGGCGCTCCCCCTGTGGGAGCACAATGACCACCAGGGGGCAGCTCCTGCATTGAGCATCTACCCCCTGGTGGTCAGTGTGCGTCATAGTGACTGAATGTTCCGCCATTCGGTTGATTTGCATATTACCCTTTTATTAGATAGGACTAGAGGTCTGATGCATGAAATTCGCACACTGGGGGGGGCGTCCCTCAGCCCAGCCTGAACCCTCTTGCTGTCCAGGACCCCTCACTCCTTATTGTCCACCTGCTCACTGCTCCTTACCACTCAGCTTGCTGC